GGAGGAGGAGGAGGAGGAGGAGGAGGAGGAGGAGGAGGAGGAGGAGGAGGAGGAGCAGGGGGAGGAGGAGGAGGAGGAGGAGGAGGAGGAGGAGGAGGAGGAGGAGGAGGAGGAGGAGGAGAAGGAGGCGCAGCGCGAGGGTCACGAAACAAGCGCCCACGCGGAAGCAAGGATGGCGCAGCACTCGGCCCACACGGCCGAGCACTGCGCGGCAGAACAAGCTGGGCGCGCCCGCCGCACAGCGCCCCCAAGGGCCAGCAACGCTACGCGCACAAGGGGCTCGGGCGGACGTCGCCTGCCGCGACGAATGAGCCTGCCCGAGGCAGGACTCGAAAGCAAAACGAGCCGGCGAGGCTCGGGCGGATCAAACGCCACCTCTTCGCATCGCTCTGAAACTGAAATTGGCGCCCATGCGGATCAAACTGCGCATCCGAGCGCTCCGCCAGACCCCTGATCTTCACCATCATCGGCGACACGTCCTAGCTCCACCGCCTCCTAATACATCGGCGTTACAAAAGTTTCGTCATAAAATAAAAGTCGATCATCTTGCATAAGCAAAGACAAATCCCGCCCCGGTGGGATTTCTAGAACCGTGTGAACTTACGTCGGGATTTCAAAATGTCCCGTTTCAAATCTATACTAGTATAGTAAAGGATGAAATCCCACTTTTAGAAATCCCGGATCTTTGATCCGACCGCTCTTGACTCAGTCCGCTAGGATTCTAGGGGGGAAGGGGGGGCCAGCTCGGCGCGGCCAGGGCAGTGGTCAGCCTCTGCCCGCGTGCTCACGCGGAAGGAAGACACGAAACCCATGCCACCTTCAAGCTCTCATGAAGCGTGACGAACTTTTGTAACGGCGTAGTAGTCGAGCCCGCGGGCCAGGAGAATCTTCGATGTGTCCAGGAGCCCCTGCTTCTTTACTGGGATATGCGAAGAGTGGTTTGCCACCTCCAATTCGCACTTCTTGGCAGCTCTGACTATATCTCTGACAGGCCCCGAATTAGACCTCGGCGACTCCAGACGAACCTCCGCACGTATGGCCTGAGGGTGTTTTAGATTGTCCAAGTGTCTGCGATTCTCGACCTCTCTGCCGCCACCATGCTTGCCCTTACACGTTTGGGCAAGGCCCCGATGATTCGTCGAACCGAACAAAAGAAATGTCGGCGAATCCACCACCGGGTACTCCACGAAGCTGCGATTGGCAGCCTTTCACGGCTCCAGGCAACCATCCACTTCGTCTTCCAAGGATGATCTAATCAGTGGGTTGCGGCTGCAATTGCAACTTTTCCTCTTCCCAAGGGAAATTGTAGTTGAGGATTTCCGCGTTAGAGTCATACAACCAAGCTTGGAAGCTGTCTAGACACCGCAGTAACAGTGCATGCAACTTCTTACACCCACGGAAGAAACGAACATGCTCGTACTCTGGCATGCTGTGGGCAGCTCCCCTTTTCGCCAAGGCATCTGCAGTAGAGTTACCCGTCTTCTCAAAGTCTGAAACCACACCCTCGATCACATCGTTAGGAGTAGCATGCCCTTTGACATGCTTGACGTTCTGCTTGTGAAAATCTTCGGTTAGGGTAACTTGCTTCCAAGGGTTCGCCCTGGAATTCGCTGTCCCCACCGCGAGGCTAGGGGTCTGCACCAAGATAATGTGCCTTGGCAATCCGACAAAAACGTGTACGTGACAAGGGTTAGTCTACTCACACCCAGCATCGCGTAACTCTCACCCCATGTTGCTGCCGGCTGCAGGCATATGTCATAGGGCATCTCGCCATAATATCTGGCAATGCGCCGTCTATCACTGTCGAAGACCACTACAGCCCACCCAGCACTTCGCATGTACGGGATATCAGAGTAGACTCCACTCCCGTCCGTAAAGACGAACCTCCTTCCACATGAAGAATCCCTTTCCTGCCCATGTCGTGAAAATGATGTGTTGGATTTCTGCTTAGAAATGCAACAGGCCTGAGCAATATCTGGAATGAGGCCGCAACAGAATAACGACTGGAGCGTTTCAGAGCCGTCTTCATCCTTTTGACTGGATTCCTGAGCTCTGTTGGAATGGAGGGCCCCATTCATGGGGATCCACGAGAGGGGACCTTGTGAGACTCCTGGGTCTCCTGCTGACAGTTTGTGGAGGGCTTCTCTGCCGATATATATCCTGACCCCGTGCTTGCCTAACTTGCTAAAAACATAGGAGGAGGAGGAGGAGGCGGAGGAGGAGAAGAAGGAGGAGAAGGAGGAGAGGGAGGAGGAGAGGGAGGAGGAGAGGGAGGAGGAGAGGGAGGAGGAGAGGGAGGAGGAGGAGGAGGAGGAGGAGGAGGAGGAGGAGGAGGAGGAGGGAGGAGGAGGAGGAGGAGGAGGAGGAGGAGGAGGAGGAGAGGAGGAGGAGGAGGAGGAGGAGGAGGAGGAGGAGGGAGGAGGAGGAGAGGGAGGAGGAGGAGGAGGAGGAGGAGGAGGAGGAGGAGGAGGAGGAGGAGGAGAGGGAGGAGGAGAGGGAGGAGGAGAGGGAGGAGAGAGAGGAGGAGGAGGAGGAGGAGGAGGAGGAGGAGGAGGAGGAGGAGGAGGAGGGGAGGAGGAGGAGGAGGAGGAGGAGGAGGAGGAGGAGGAGGAGGAGGAGGAGGAGGAGGAGAGGGAGGAGGAGGAGGAAGAGGAGAGGGAGGAGAGGGAGGAGAGGGAGGAGAGGAGGAGGAGGAGGAGGAGGAGGAGGAGGAGGAGGAGGAGGAGGAGGATGAGGAGGAGGAGGAGGGCGGACGAGCACGGCTTCTTAGAGGCGGGGCTCCTCCCAGAAGGCTGCCCTCCCCGCCTGGCCCCCGCCGGCACGCCGCTGCCGAAGCTTTCCAGCATAGAGGAGGAGGGAGGAGGAGGAGAGGGAGAGAGGAGGAGGAGGAGGAGGAGGAGGAGGAGGAGGAGGAGGAGGAGGAGGAGGAGGAGGAGGAGGAGGAGGAGAGGGAGGAGGAGAGGGAGGAGGAGGAGGAGGAGGAGGAGGAGGAGGTGGAGGCCTGGAAATGGGCACCAACACCAACACAGGGGTCTGCCTCCACAGCGGGAAGATGATCCTGGATTTCGGCGTTGGTGGTAATATAGTTCGGTCACTTGGAAGACAGGACATCACCACCATCACCGAGACTGGGCTCTTCTTCCCTCAGTGGAGGAGCACCGCCGATATTGGTGTTGGTGGTGTCAACCTCTAGGCCTGCGACAGTGCTCGGCAACGGGCGTCGCGTCGGGCCCAGAACCGCAGTGCACCAAGCGTGTCGCACGAATGCACGCTGAGCCCGGCTCTGCAATGGAGTCTGTGGCCGCACGGCCGCAAGACGCGGCCGCAGTGCTGCCCGACAGGGCCTACCAGGCTCACAACGCAGGGGGCACTTCCGAGCATGTGGACGCAGGACATAGAAGCCACACCGGCGCGTTCGGCGCCTACCTTCGTGAATCTCGCTTGAATGCTCGGCTTCTGGTGGACGATGTTGCGATCGCGGACCGTCAGCACAATCGGGAGCTGAACTGGCAGAAGGATTCAGGATCTGCCGTGCGCTCGCACGGTCACGGCTGTTCTTCGGCGCTCAAGCATACACACCGCTGCCACAGATGAAGAACACAGTTGAGACATCACCTGACGGCGGATGCATATTTGACCGCGAGCTGCAGAGGAACATCCGAGCGGTCAAACATGTTGCGCAAGTTGCGGTTGCATTCATCGTGCAATTTTAAACGCGAGCTGCGCGTCTGCATCGCCATCGTGGGGGCCGGATTTTGAGAAGCGCTTTGTTGTCATCGCTTTCGGCAAAAACCTCTGTCGACGTACTGTTCGGCGCACGACTTGCCAATCAATCCCAGCCCTCCTCCTCCTCTTCAAATCCTCTTGCTCCCCATTCTAGCTCTCCCGGTCTTTGCCCCTCCTGTTCCTCACACACGTCCTCCTCTCTCCCCCATTCCATCCCCCCTGCCTGCCTCCCCCACACTGCCCTGCCTCCCCTCTCCCCCCCACCACAATCCCTCCCCCTCCCCGGCGCACTTTGCTCGGCGCCGGCCCTGCCCAACAGGGCATCCACACGAAACGGCGCGCGGCGCTGCTGCTCCGCGCCCCGCACCTGCGGCACCACAGTGCCCGCCCGATGGCTCCCCCTCCCGCGCGCCGCCAGGACTGCAAGAGCCAAGGGCACCGATGCTGAGTCGAAGCCAGGACGAGGATAAGTTCGGGCAATGATGCAGTTGGGGCGTTGACCTAAGGAACAAGAAATGACAAACGAGGCCCCATTTTCCGTCAGTTGTACTTCGATCTCCCATCGAAAACCTGAGGAAATCCTGAGGCAAACTGCGAAACAACTTAGGAACACGGAGCCCCTCCCCAACGAAAAGGGTTCCTTCTTCAGCGCCCCGACTGTATATCGAGAGTCTCTGAGCTCCAGCGGTTCTGAAGATGTCTCCGGCGCCGCGGCCCTCCCAGAGCGTTCCAGAACACTTTGAGAGCGCTCCAGAACGCTCTGGAACGGATTTAGCCTCGTCCTAGCACCGCCCGACCATGCCCTGGACCTCTCCCAGGCTGCGTTCGGATTCTGACAAGGGCTTCGAGGCGCATCCGGCCCTGGCGACGAGGGCCTCCCAGGAGGCCAAGAACAAGGCGGCAACGGCGGAAGGGCTGGCAGAGGTACAGGCCTCGGAAGAAATAAGCGAACACTAATGCCGCATTCATCTGTCAATGCCCCCCCAATGATCAGTGCTGGCGGCGGGTTGCATCAGCTGCGTGTCGACCGCAGTCTCCCCCGCGCTTGCCAACTTTGAGTTTTGAGGGGCGGGGGAGAGTCCACTATGATGGGCCTGTTTTCCACCACCACAACAAGTTGGAGCGGGAGGGGGTCCTCCTCCTCCTCCTCGTCCTCCTCCTCCTCCTTCTCCTCTTCCTCCTCCTCCCTCCTCCTCTTCGTCCTCCTCCTCCTTCCCCCTCCAACGCAAGGTTGTGGTGGTGGAAAGCAAGCCCATCACACCAAGTGCTTCCTTCTACCGTGCCTCCTCCTCCCCGGAGGAGCGGGGCAGCCTGCGCCCGCTCTCAGTACCTGAGGCCGCCGGCGCGGAGGTTCGTCGTCGGCAGGCGCTGGCCGTCCTCCTTGGGACGCAGAAGGAGCCTCCTTCCCCTCCTCCTCCTCCTCCTCCTCCTCCCCCTCCCTCCTCCTCCCCCTCCTCCTCCTCCCCCTCCTCCTCCCCCTCCTCGTCCTCCTCGTCCTCCTCCTCCTCCTCCCCCTCCTCCCCCTCCTCCCCCCCTGGCCGAGCCGAACCGGCGCGCGGGGGGGCGGGCGGCGACTGCTGCGGCGACGCCCTGGTGGCGGCGCCAACGGTGGCAAGCACACATTCCAAGCATCTTGAAGTACAGTCAAAGACCCTAATAAGGACGCGCGGCAAAGAAGCAAGACCCTCAGAGGCCGAAGTTGGGATTTCTGGGGCGGCGGACGACAAAAACCACAAGGACGCAATAGCAAGGAAGAGCAAAGACGCAAGAGCAAGGAAGAGCAAGGACGCAGGGGTACCCTGAGCAGAGTCGCGCGTCCTTATTCGGGTTTCTGACTGTAGATCGCTGCCCAGGCGGTAGGACCAGAAAGCGCGCGCCGCCGAGAAGCGCCACATCATTTGGGGAGACTGGGGTGGGACGCTCCGGGCTCCCCCCCCTCTAAAAGAACCTGCTTCGAGCAGGGGATCGACTGCGGAGTTGATTTATCCCCAAAAGTGGCTTGTTCGTCGAATCTGCAAACGAATACGTGGAATCTTCGTAGACCCTAACTGATTCGACGAATCGTTGATTCTAGGGTAAATCAATTCGGTGGTCGATCCACTACTCGACTACTACCCCCGCTGAGGGAGGGGGGGGGGGTCGGAGCCTGGTGGGGGGAGGGTCATTTTTGGGGGGGAGGGCACGGCCTCCGCACAAGTAAGAAAACTCAAACACACACAGACACACACACACACACAAATTCACACACCAACACCAACACCTACACCAACACCGACAACAAAACAAAAACAACAACAATCATGTCAAGACTGTTCGCTCTCACATGCTCGAGTGTCCGTTAACGCGTATTCCACATCAACAACAACAACAACTACAACAACCACAATAGCAACAGCAACAGCAACAACAACAGCAACGACAACAGCAGCAGCAGCAGCAACAGCAACCGCAGCAGCAGCAAGAAGAGCAACTACAACAGCACCAGCAACATCAACAACAATACTTACAACAACAACCACAACAACACCACCAACAACAGCAACTACAACAACAGCAACAAGGATAACAATGACTACAACAACAAATACAACAACAACGACAACCACAACAGCAACAGCAACAAATACAATAACGCACACAACAATAACAGCAGCGACAACAGCAGCAACAACAGCAACAACAAGTACATACATACAAACACACACACAACAAACCCTTGAGGGGGGCTGTGGAAGAATAGAGGGGTGTCCCTTTCTGGGCTTCCGGAACTCAGAATGTCGGACAACCAAAATAGAAAGACAAAAAACATACCCCCTCTTGTGGAGGGGGGCCTTGCGGGGGGTTCAAAATTGTTCCCCCCGACCCATCCCCCGAACAAAAACCCTCAGGTGGGTATTGGGGGGGATTGGGAGGTTTCCCTCCCAAACACTCGAAAAAGCGCCCTGCAAGGTTTTGGAAAGGTTAGGGGGGTTTTCCTCCCGGACCCCCTCCAAAAACTCACCTCAAAGAGGTTGGAGAGTTGTTCTGCCAGAACCCCCATCAAAATCCTCCTCAGGGAGAATTTTGCGGGAGGGGTAGGAGGGGGTCCCTCCCCGACCCCCTTCCCAGAAAACTCATCAAATGATTTTTTGCCGGTGGTAGGGGGGTCTCCCCCCGAAATCACCCCCCCAACAAAAAGCCTCAAAGGTAGGTTTTCAGGTGAGTTAGGGGGCGTTCCTCCCGATCCCCTTGAGAAAACCATGAATGTTTTTTGGTGGGGATTGGGGAAGTGTCCCACTACCCCCCCGCCAAAAACCTAATATGAGCGAGGGTTGTTTTAGAGGGGGGTAAGGAGATAGTTCCCCGCGCAACCCCCGAAAAAACCATCTCGGGAGGGGGCTGCGTGTTTTGCTTGAAGGGGGTCAGGGGGCTTTCTCGGCGGTGGACAGACCTCCCTTTAGTAAAACGTGGTTTAGTGAAAACGACCTCGGGCCCAATTCTGGCGGGCGCAAGCCTGGAAAATAACGGCCACGGCGCCCTCTCGAGAACCGAAAACGGACAATTCACTAATCGACGTGTCACTGTTGGGGGTTCTGTCCACCCCCGATTGTTTTAGACGGGGGTAAGGAGATATTTCCCCGCGCACCCCCCGAAAAACCCATCTCGGGAGGGGGTTGCGTGTTTTTCTTGAAGGGGGTCAGGGGGCTTTCACCCCAGACCCCCCAAAAAGGTTCGAGCGAGGAGGAGGAGGAGGAGGGGGAGGAGGAGGAGGAGGATGAGGAGGAGGAGGAGGAAGAGGAAGAGGAAGAGGAAGAGGAGGAGGAGGAGGAGGAGGAGGAGGAGGAGGATGGGGAGGAGGAGGAGGAGGAGGAGGAGGAGGAGGAGCAGGAGGAGGGGGTCAGGGTTGCGTTTTGTTTGTTTGTTTCCCCAAAAAAGGCTCGAGCGAGCAGCGCGTGCTGCACGGCAGAGCGGGGGCCTCCGGAGACGCCCCCGATGGGCTTCCAGGTTCGACGTGGGGGACGGGCCTCTCGCCTTGCAGCGGGTGGTGCACAGCAGAGGGACACGTCTGGCGCCAGGAGGAGGAGGAGGAGGAGGAGGAGGAGGAGGAGGAGGAGGAGGAGGAGAGGAGGAGGAGGAGGAGGAGAAGGAGGAGGAGGAAGGATGCACGTTTCATCAGCGTGGGGAGGTGCCTCGCCTAGCAGAGGATGGCGCACGGCACAAGAGCACCTCTACTGCCAAGGACAATTTGTTCCTGCTCAGGGAGGGGCCTCGTCGAGCAGCGGGCGATGCACGGCAGAGAGGCACGTCCAGGTACCAGGGATGCTTCCTGAACCAGCTTGGGAAGGGGTCTCGTGGAGCAGCGGGCGATGCACAGCAGAGAGGCACGTCCAGTACCAAGGATGCTTTCCTGGACCAGCTTGAAGAAGAGTCTCGTCTAGCAGCGGGAGCTGCACAGCAGAGAGGCACGCCCAGTACCAAGGATGCCTCCCAATCAACTTGGGCAGGGGCTCTGTCTAGCTACGGGCGGTGCACACAAGGAGGGCGCGTCTAGCACCAAAGATGCTTGTGTTACTCACCTTAGGGAGGTGCCTCGTCTAGTAGTGTCTAGCAGCGGGTGGTGCACAGCAGGGGGCCGCGTCTAGTACCAAGGATGCTTCTTAACCAGCTTGGGGAGGGGCCTCGTGGAGCAGCGGGTGCTGCACAGCAGAGCGGGGGGGCATCCGAAAGCCTCCGAGAGCCTTGAGACAACTTGGGGAGGGGCCTCGTCTAGCAGCGGGTGGTGCACGGCAGAGGTGCAAGTCCAGTACCAAGGATGTCTTCTTCTATCAGCTTGGGGAGAGGCCCTCGATGAGCAGCGGGTGGCGCGCAGCAGAGGAGCACGCCTAGCACCGCGGATGTTACTTTCAGCTTGGGCGGGGGCCTCGTCTAGCAGAGGGTGGTGCACGGCAGAGAGGCACGACAGTACCAAAGAGGGCTGTCTGGCGAGAGTCCGGGTTGCGGGCAAGGTTCATATCCATATCCAGTGCGTCGTGGATTTTTTGGGAAGGAGCGTCACAAGGCCGAGGCGCACTGGATATGAAAAAAAATCGAGCCTCTAGAGGGCAAATTCATCCATATCCGGCGCGCCTCTGGTTTCTGGGGAAGGGAACCCGAAACTCCATATCGCAGTGGACATGGACAGAAGTATTGCCCGCACGGGTGGGAAACTCCCCGAACTCCGCCAAAAGTCCTCCTGAGGGCGGTTTGTGGTGGGGGGTGGGCGGGGGGGTAACACTTCTAACCATCCCCGACAACCCCCCTGAAGGGGAGTTTGTGTGAAAGGTCCAGGGAGAGGCGCACCAAACCCCTTCCGAACAAAAAAAAACCTCAGAGCTGGGTTGTTATAAGGGTTCACGAATCACCCCGAGACCCCCTAAAAAAAACCCCAGCAGGATTCTTGCTTGAAAGGAAACCCCCCACCCTACTTCAGGTTGTGGGGGAAGCCTTCTTAAGCCTCCCGAGATTGCATCTGAAGAGAGTTCTTGGTGGTTTGCAACATGTTTTTAGGGGGGTCCGGAAGAAGCCCAGACCCCTCCCCCCAAACCACCCCCTGACGGGTGCTTTTGACAGGACTCGGAGAGAACATCCACGTAACCCCCAAAAAACACCCTGAGTGAGGTTTTTGAAGGGGCTCGGACAGGATAAGGAAACAACATATGTGAAACAAAACCTTGGACAAGGTTTTTTTCCAGGTTCGTTTAGGGGGGATTCCCCCTCCCCCGAAAAAACAAACCGTCGGGGGGGAAACCTTCCGAACCCTTCTCAAAAAAAAACACCCCGACGGTGGTGTTTTGAGCAGGTTCGGAAGGCCCCCTGCCCCCCTACATAAACTGTTGAGGTGGGTTTGGGGGAGAGTCCTTGGGGGAAATCCCCCCAACCCCCCCAAGACCTTTCTGAAGTGGAAAAATCGGAGGGGGAACACCTGCTGAACCCCCATACAGAAACAACAAAAACTGTTGTTTGTTTTTGTTGGGTGGGTGGGAGAGTGTGTGGGAAACTCCTTTTCCACTATCCAAACAAAACCATGAGGTGCTTTTGTTGGAAGAGGTCGGGGGGAAAACCGTCTTGATGACTGAGAAATCTCCCTAGAAGAGGCTTTGGTTGAGGGAGGGTCCAGGGGAAACCCAACTAAACTTCCCAGAACCACAGCTTGAGAAAGGTTGTTGGTGAGTTTCGACCGGAAAAAAAAACACTCAGACCCCCACGCCCCGCGCGGAGTGTTGATTCTGATGATGGTGTTGATGACGACGATGATGGTGATGACGATGATGATGCTGATGATGCTGAACGTGATGTTGGTGTATACCCAGTGGGTCACCCTATCGCAATGAGGGCTGATAAAAGGCAACGGTGATGGTGATGGCGATGGTGGTGCGATGAGGAAGACAGCAACGACGATGGTTATAGTGATGGTGATGCTCATGATGAGTATTTGAGTGCGGATGGTGGTAATGAGCATGATGCAGGTGATGTCAATAATGAAGCTGATGACGATGCGGGTGATGAGATACTGGTAATCATGATCGCATGACGAGGAAAACAATGATTGTGATGGTGGTGGTGATGGTGATGGTGCTGGGGCTGACGATGGTGATGACGATGATGAGGCCATTGATGGTGATGATGATGATGACAAGGATGGCGATGATGATCATGATTGTGATGGTGATGATGTTGAGGATGATGATGATGATGATGACAATGTTGATGATGGCGTTTATTATGAGAGTGTTGATGACGATGGCGACGATGATGATGATGTTGATGATGATGGTGGTGCTGCTGATTTTAATGTTGACGATGTTGATGCGGATGATGCTGATGATGGTGATGGTAATGATGCAGATGATCATGCAGTTGATGTTGATGAAGAAGGTGATGATGATGACGTTGATGATGATGACGATGCTGATGACGATGATGATAATGATGATGCGGACGGTGGTGGTGATGTCGATGCTGATGTTGACGATGCTGATGGTGCTGCTGATGATGATGATAATGAGGAAGATGACGACAAAAGGAGGGGGTAGAGTGTTTCTGCGCGGGGTGTCCAAGGAAAGCAACACACCCACGCAAGATGGGGGGGAACATAAAAAGGGAGGCTGTGGAAAGGGTTTGGAGGCTTCCCCTCCGACCCCCCCAAACCCCTCCCTCAGGGCTGTTTGGGGAGGGGGGCCAGTCCTCCTGTAGGGTTTAGTTGAGATTCCCCACCAGACCCCCCAACAAACCGCCTTGGACAACCACGGCGTCCTGGACCCTCGGCACCAGCACGAAAACTTTCGCCTCGGCTACGGCATGGGCATATGCTGGGAAGCGCTGGCGAAGTGGATCAACACGCACTCTCGTCGCGACGCGCAGCGTCTCAGCGCGACCCTCATTTTCCTGCAAGCCTTAGACAAGCGCAACGCGACGCAAGGCGATCCAAACGCGATCCGGCTCCTCTCGAACGTCCCGAACATGCACCACACGAAGGGCACCTACGAAGCGTTACCGGCACGCGTCGGCATGGAGGTTGGGTTCACGGCCGCGCAAGACGAGCTAAAGACATCGGGGCCCACGTAGGAACAACGGGCCACCATCGTGTCGTTCGAGTTTCACCATGAGGACGAACGGAAGTACAAGGAGCCCGCGCCGGGCCAGCTTTTTCGCCCGCTACCTGCCACAGGGAATCTAGCTGCAGGCGCGCGGCTTCCAGGATTCTCCGATCTACAATGAGGTCGCCAGCGTGCTGCTACAAGGCGCCGAGCGCGCTGACCACGACAGCGACAGGGCGCGGGCGAGGAGCTCGCTCATGTTCAGGCCCAGCGAGCAAGAGCTCACCTGGCAGAACCCGGGGTCGCACGTCGCGCGCCGCGCGGGGTTCACCCTGACGCGCGCGTCGTACCTCACCCTCACGCTATTGCAGGGTCAGACGCTGCGCAAGGGCGTCACCATCGAGTGCGCCATGGATGCAAACGCTGATTGCATGTGCGTATCGGACGAACAGCGGTGGCTGCACCTCTGCGCCATGTTCTCCGCGCCACGCGCATGCGGAACATGCTGACATTGCGGCCGCTCACGCGAAGAGTTCCTGTGCGCGGGCCGCCGGCGTCCCTGCGGAAGGCGCTCAGGGAGTTCGACAAGATAGCGGTGAGCTCCAGGGCTGAGGCGGAGCAGCTCGCGGCAGAGCTGGGTCTGGCGCGTCCTCCCGCATGAGCGCGGCCGCGGTTAGCTCGAGACCTGCGGGGTTGTTCCAACGGCTGGCTCCCGCGCCCCAGCGGCTCGCGGGGTTGCCCCAACACCCTGACCCGCGGGGTTGCCATAATTAACGGCTTCGCGATCCAGCCATCAGAGAACGCGCCTGTGCTGGCCGTGGCGGCAACGGCGCCGAGGAAAATCGATTTGCCCCAGCCAGGAGGCAGGGAATTGTATTGGAAGAACAGGCAGGAGGATCAGAGAGGGAAAATGAGGCGGATGGCGAGAGGGAGAAGAGGATGAACAGGAGGAAGAGGAGGAGAAGGAGGAGAAAGAAAAGGGGTAGGAGGAGGAGGGTGAGAAGGGGATCACGAGAAGAAGGAGAAGACGAAGAGTGAAGATGACGAGGAGGTGGAGGCGCAACAAAGGGCGGGTGGAGGGCTTCCGCCAGGGCGAGGAAGAAAATGCGTGGGACACGCAAAATAGATTCGATTCTCATGTGGGGGCCTACCGTCAGAAAAAAAGGTTCCGAGAGGCCCCCCCCCTTCCCACCCCCCTTTGCGGGGATGCTTGGAAGGTTCGGGGGGGTCAGCCCCCCTAACCCTCCTTAAAACCTTCCTTGAGAGGGTCCTGGGGGGAGTTCCAGGAGGAAACCTCCACACCTCCACAACCCTGCAATCTTCCCCCCCTGAGTCCAGAACCTTCGAGGGGGGAACCCTCCGAACCTAACCTAACCCCCAAACAAACACCCTTGAGGGAGGTATGGGGGAGGGGCTCTTGGGCGGACACTCCCCCCTCCGCAAAAAACAAAAAACAAAAAAACGGAGGGGGACTTGGGGGCAGGGTCTGGGGGAAACAAGCCCCAGCCCCTTCAGAACAAAGACTCCCTTGTGTCGGGCTTCTGGTTTCTGGAAGGGCTCGGGGGGGAGCCAGCCCCTCAACAAAAACTCTGCCGGGGGGGAGGGCTCCTGGGGGAAACCCTCTACAGGGCCGTTTTTAGTACATTGCTTGTTTTAAAGAAAAACAAATGATTTTTAACACATGATCCATTTATGACTAAATGTATGCATGAACTCACCGTTCTTTTTAATACTAGATCCCAACATTTTTAATACATGATCCGCACACGGAGCATGTATTAAAAACGGCACTGTCCCCCCCCCCCTAAACAAAAAAAACTGATACGAGCTGTTGTTGCGTCTTTGTTGTTTAAGAGGGGGGAACCGTTCGAACCGCGCCCTTGCAAAGGGCTGTTTTGTTGGTCTGTTTCCACCGGGGGGGGTGGGACGGCCACCCCCTGCTGGATGTTTGAGCGCGCGCGCGTCGCCCCTTGTGGGCGTGCCGCGCGCACAGCACAGAGAGATGCTTGGGTGGTGCCGACTCCTCGCCCTCGAGCCGGACCATCGGGCGCAGCAGGTTCAGGATCCTGTTGCGCCGCGGCACCAGGCCCTCGTTGTCGATGGCCAGCACCGCCTCGGCGCGTGCGCGCGATACTCATCGGGGCCTTATGTATCAATGGAACGCGTGTCTTGAACCACCACCTGAGTTGGGGGCGAACAAGCAAAAGCTTTCGACCAGCTCCACCCTAACTGTCCCAAGAGGGGCACGGCGACCAGAACGCAGGGGGGAGGACTCCATAGTAGGACTCCCCGTGGGCCTCGCGCGCGCCCGCGCAGGGCTAAGTCGGGCATTTCCCCCTTTGACTATTGCTGGCTTTTCTTCCCACATCCGCCTGTGGGAGGACATGCCCGACCTAAACGTAGGGTCAAGAGGACAAGGCAGAGAAGAGGGCGGCCCTCGACGACGACGGCGGCGACGAAGACGCACGACGCCAGGGAGGACAGCTAACGACACGAGGACGGCGACCACGACGAAGAACGACCGCGGCCGACGCGAACGACGACGACGACAACGACGACGACCGGGCAGGGGGAATGCGGTGGGAGGAGGGGGGGCCTCGTGCACCCCCTCCTCGACGGCTCTGGCCGGGGAGCGCTTCGCAATCGCGATCAGGACGTCCAGGGCCGCGAGCTGCTCCATCGGCGTGATGTCCTCCAGGTTCAGGGCGTCGACGGCGGCCGTGATGACGCCGCCCTTGATCAGGGACGGCCAGGTGGTAGGCGAAGCATCGGTGATGAGCTTGCGGAGGATCTTCAGGACCACCTCTGAAAGGGGCCCTGGGACACACAAATAAAAAGACACAATTCACCGGCTTCCCCAGATTTTCCCATGTCTTCTGGGCCTTTGCCTCCCCCCACCCACACTTCCCACAGTTTCCCATATCTTCTGGGGAAGCGACGATGCGTTGTGCCTGTGTGCTTTCTTCCTCTCGCACCTCGTCGGCGGTCCTCCGCGCCAGCGAGCAGAGGAGGCCCCCGGCGCCCATCTCGACCACCAGCCCGACCGGCAGGCGCGTGAGCGTGACGCCCTCGTCCACCAGCTTCCACAGGAGGTCGATGGCGACGCCCTGCACCTGGCCCTGCCCGTGCTCCACGAGGCGCAGGATGCCGCACAGCGCCTGGAAGCAGCCCCGGTTGTACGGCGTCCTCTTCACGTCCCCGAGGCTGAAGGGCCACTCCACCCACTGGGGCAATCTCTTATCATTCGCTTCCTCCTCCTCCTCCTCCTCCTCCTCCTCCTCCTCCTCCTCCTCCTCCTCCTCCTCCTCCTCTCCCTCCTCTTCTCCCCACTCCCCCACTCCTCTCCTCCTCCTCTTCTCCCTGCATGACTGTCCCCTCCTCCCCTTCTCCCCCCCCCCTCCCCCCCCCCTCCGGTCACGTGACCGTCACGACTCGCGCTGGCGCCGTCTGGGAACCAGCGAGTTTGAGGCATTCCCAGAGGCGAGACGGTGCCGGCGCGAATCGTCACGTGACTGGCCCCCTCCCCCCTCCCGGTCAGGCCCGTTCTCGTCAGGAGATCCGCCAGCGCGCCGAGAGGCACGAGCTGGAGTGCCCCAGGTCCCTGGTAGCCCTCGGGCCTCAGCCCTCAGGATGGAAGAATTCAGGGGCCCCCATCCCAAATGCTCAAATTGTCCAGGCTTCCTGGCGTGTCTTCCGCGGTTCTTCAGCGCTTCCCGCCGCATGCCTTCTGAGCGCCCCGAGGCGGGCCAAGAGGGCCCCGAGAGGCCTCCGACCTGCAACCCAGGAACGGCCGAAGGCCGGTAGATCCGCCGCCCCCGCTGGCTTGCTGTAGGGTTAGGTCGGGCCTGTCCCCCTACAGGAGGATTTTGGACGAAAAAGTAAACACACCCCAAAACTACTCAAACATGGTCAAAAATAGTAACACAAATCGTCCCCAAACTACCTAAACTATGTTTGGGATGCTCCTCCTGTAGAGGGACACGCCCGACCTAACTGTAGGGGTGCACGGCGCGCCAAACTTGCAAGAGATTTTCGGTTCTCTTCAAAGGTTCCCAAAATGGTCGCGGCCGATCGCGCCGGCCGCACGGAAACAACCTACTCCATTGGCCCCCCCTCCCTGCAGGACCCGTCAGCCTCCCAGGTCGTCTGCCCTTCCGCTCCAGACGGTTTCAAGGTGGCCTCCAGGACGGCCAAGCTGGTCTCCAAGAGAGCCCAAGAGGGCCCCAAGAGAGCCCACGATGTTCCCATTCTGTCGCGACGACGGGCCGAGATGCTCCCAGAGATGGCCCAAGATGGCCCAAGATGGCCCATCGGCGCTTCCAAACGCCGGGGGCGGAGGTGGTTCTTCGCAGTAGGCGTCTTGGACACGAAAAACGGTATCCTGCCGGTCGAACTCATGCAGCTCCTCCATGTCCAGCATGCACGCAATGAGCGCCTCTCGCCCAGAGAGAGAGAGAGAGAGAGAGAGAGAGAGCGAAAGAGAAAGAGAGAGGGAGAGAGAGAGAGAGAGTAGAGGCCTCGCAAATGGGGTCCGAGCGTATAGGGTCAGAGGACCGCGCCGCATCGCCGATGCATCGGCGATGCATCGCGCCGATGCATGGGTGACGTCGACGATGTATCGGCGTTGCGTCTCAATGTGGAGCCCGATGCTCTTCCTGCCGACGTCGCTTCTGCAACGCCGCTGCATCGTCGGGGTGGAGGAAGACTGGCTCCACATCGAGCCGCACCAACGATGCATCGGCGATGAGGCGCGACCCTCCGAAATTTCGCCTGCCAAGGAGGCACACGGATAGATAACGAAGGAGCCGCACCGCCCCCACCCCTCCGTCCCCGAGCGGGGGAGGCCGCCGCCGGCCCCCCCCCCAGGGACGGGAGCCGTGCGCGAGGCGTCCCCGGCGCGGGGACGCGTGGCGGGATCCAAAGACCCTAGAAGAACAAGATACACCATAACAGAACCCAAAAGACACCTAAGAGACACCTAAAAGACCCAAGAACCTAAAAGACACCTAAAAAACCCTAAAGACCCAAGAACCTGGCCATCCCTAGAAGAGGAAGAAGAATAATAATACTAAGAAGAAGAAGAAAAAGAAGAAACGCCATAAACATCAATTTTTGGCGCTCCGCGTGGATTTCATGCATCCGCGCTGGGCCCCCTCCCTGGCGCGCTCCGCCGGAGGCGCCGCCCGCGGGGGGCACCAGCGCGGATCCAAGAAATCCGCGCGGAGCGCCAAAAGTTTATGTTTGTGGCGTTTCTTTTTTTTCTTATTATTATTCTTCTTATTGGTATTACTATTATTATTAATATTATTATTCTTATTATTATTATTAATATTATTATTATTATTATTATTATTATTATTATTATTATTTCTATGATTATTCTTCCTCTTCTAGGGATGGCCAGGCTAGGGATGTTTGTGGCGTTTCTTCTTTTTCGAATCTCGTGAGGAGACTAAACTTGACTTCCGCCGCCGGCTCCCGCCGGCGGACGCGGCCTCGCTTTACTTCCACCGCCTTCCGCTGGCCTTCCGCCGCCTTCCCACCGAGAAAGACAAATCAAGTCCTTCGATCCTCGAAGGCGAGGCCCTTTCTTGAATGTGCCCGACGTCCCTTGTTGGGCGGCGCGCCCGGGGGGGGGAAAGCACGGGGTTCGGTGGCAATTCCGTGGGAGCCACCCATGCCGTCTTGCTGGCTCTCGCGAATCGACGCTGATCGACGCTGGTCGGCGCTAAACGACGCTAAATCGAAGAGAATCGGCGCGAAAGCATCGATTGCCAAACGCTAGCGCACGCTGATGCACTTTAAAGACTGAGTTTCGAGGACACGCAGTGTTCCCATGACTCGCTACCGGAAGAGAAAGCTGGTGCCCCTCTGGGTGAGGGCAGGCAGCTCCCACGGCTCGAGCAGAGGCTCGACCTGGCCATCGCTCGGACGTGCATTCCCTGTGTTTTTTTCGGTTTCGTGCGTGGCTTTTTCGCCAAATGATCAAGGATGCTCCTCGATGGCCCTCGTCGAAGGAAAAATGCACACGTCCGAGCGATGCCAAAGGGCGAGGGCACGCAGCTCCACGGCTCGAGCAGCGGCTCGACTGTAGAAATGACTTGCGTACCCAGAAATTGGCTACTTCCGCCCACTGTCCCGAAACACATGACGTCTCTTCTTCTAGACTCGACGAGGGCATCCATTTTGGGGGTAAACCGCCCCTGCAGCCGATCCCCTTCTCGAACGGTCCAGACCGCGGGGCGAGAGAGCGCGCGATCACCTCCGCATCCCCCCTGCGGGCGACCCGGTCTCGGAAGGAGCGCCTCCTCGTCGAGCGGGTCCTCCTCGGGGGGGGGCGCCCGAAGAGCAATGGGTGCGGAAAGAACAACGAGGAAGGACGGTGCCGAGCAGCGAACGTTGTCCAATATCGACGGCGGCCACTGCTGGGCAGGCGACCTTCTGCCTCAGGTGGGCAGCGTCCGCGGCGACACCGACAGGGAGCCCTGCGCAGCATGGACGAGAGCTGCAGTCGGTGTTCGTCCCCACTCTTTCCGTGCTCCGAGTTGTTCAATAAGCGCGGGATGGAGCGCGTGAGGGTGTGGGAATGGGTTTTCCTTCGCGGTTCGCGGGGAGGCCGGATCGGATGAGAAGCCGAGTTCGGGGGGCGTGTGGGGGGGGGCAGAGTGGGCTGCCGGGCAGGGTGACCTGGTGTGTATGGTTGTATTTGTGTGTTGTGTGCTGTGTGCGTGTGTTGAAGTGTCTGTTGTGTGTGTGTGTTGTGTTGAAGTGTCTGTTGTGTGTGTTGTGTGTTATGTGCGTGGGTGTGTGTTGTGTGATGTGCTGTGCGATGTGTTGTGTGTGATGTGTGAGTTGTGCGTTGTGTTGTGTGTTGTGTTGTGTGTTGTGTTGTGTGTTGTGTTGTGTGTGATGTGTGTGTGTGTTGTGTGCTGTGTGTGTTGTGTGTGATGTGCGTGTGTTGTATGTGGTGTGTGTTGATGTTGTGTGTTGTGTGTTGTGTAATGTGTGTTGCGTGTTGTGTGGAGTGTGGTGCTGTGTGATGTGTGATGTGAGTTGTGTTGTGTGTTATGCGTTGTGTGTTGTGAATTGTGCGTTGGTGCGTGTACGTGTGCGTGTGCGCGTGTGCGTGTGCGGGTGCGCATGCGTGTGCATGTGCGTGTGGGCGTGTTCGTGTGCGGGTGCCGTTGCGCGTGCGCGTGCGGGTGCGGGTGCGGGTGCAGGTACGCGTGCGCGTGCAGGTGCGGGTGCGGGTGCGCGTGCGCGTGCGCGTGCGAGTGCGCGTGCGCATGTGCGGGTGCGGGTGCGGGTGCGTGCATGCGTACGCGTGTGTGTGTGTGCGTGTGTGTGTGTGTGCGGGTGTGTGAGTGTGCGTGTGTGTGTGTATGTGTGAACGTGTGGTGTGTAGTGTTGTCTGTGTTGCGTCGTTTGCTTGTTTGTGCTGTGCGTGCTGTGTTTGTGTGAGTTGTATGTTGCGTGTTGTGTGTGGTGTGTGTTGTGTGTGGGAGTGTGGATGTGTGCGTGTGGGTGTGTCGTGTGTGTATGTGTGCTGTGTGTTGTGTGTGGTGTGCTGGGTGTGGTGTGTGTTGAGTGCTGTGTGTGGTGTGTGTTGTGTGTAGTGTATGCTGCTTGTTGTTGGTGGTGTGTGTATGTTGTGGGTTGTGTGGTGTGTGTGTGTTGTGTTGTGTTGTGTGTTGTGTTTGTTGTGCAAAGTGCGTGTTGTGTGTAAGTTGTGTGTGTTGATGTGTGGTGGTGCGTGCTGCGTGCTGTGTGTTCTGTGTTGTCTGTTGTCTGGTGTGTGCTGTGCGTTGTGTGTTGTGTGTGGTGTGTGCTGTACGTTGTGTGTGGTGTGTTGCCTGTTGTCTGTTGTGGGCTGTGCGCTGTGTGTTGTGTTGCTGCGTGTGCGTGTGCGTATGCGTAATCGTGCGCGTGTGCGTGTGCGTGTGCGCGTGTGCGTGTGCGTGTGCGCGTGTGCGTGTGCGTGTGCGTGTGCGCGTATGCGTGTGCGGGATCGGGTGCACGTGCGGGTGCGGGTGCGGGTGCGCGTGCGCGTGCGGGTGCGGGTGCGGGTGCGCGTGCGCGTGCGCGTGCGCGCGCGCGTGCGGCTGCGGGTGCGGGTGCGGGTGCGAATTCGTGGGTGCGAGTGTGTGTGTGTGCCGTGTGTTGTGTAACGGGGTGGGTGTTGTGTGTTGTGTGTGTTATTTGTCTGCGTTGTGTGTTATGCGTGTGTGTTGTGTGGTGTGCTGTGCGTTGTGTGTGTGCTGTGCTGTGTGTGGGTGCTCGTGAGGGTGTGCTTGTGGATGTGTGAGGGTGTGTGTGTGTGTTGTGGTGTGCTGTGTGCGTGGGTGTGCGTGGGTGTGTGTCTGTGGGTGGGTGTGTGTGTTGGTGTGCGTGGTGTGTGTGTGTGTTGTGCTGTGTGTTGTGTGGTGTGTGTGGTGTGCGTGTGGTGTGTGTGTGTTGTGTGTTGTGTGTTGTGTGGTGCGTGTTGTGTGATGTGTGTGTCGTGTGTTTGTGCGTGTTTGTGTGTGTTGTGTGGTCGTGTGTTCGTATGGTCGTGTGTTCGTATGTTTGTGTGACCGTGTGTTCTTGTGTCCGTTTGTGTGGTAGTGCTATACGTGTTTGTGTGTGTGTGGGTGGTTGTGTGTGGCTGCGTGTGTGTGTTTGTGCGCGCGTGTGCGTGTATCTGTGTGTCTGTGTGTTTGTTTGTGTGTTTGTGTTTATGTGTGTGGTGCGTGTCTGTATTTGTGAGGTTGTGTGTTTGTGCATGTGTGTGTGTCTGTGTGTTTGTGTCTGTGTGCTGTGTGGTGTGTGTTGTGTGTGTTGTGTATGGTATGTGTGTGGTTTGTGTGTTGTGTGTGTGTTGTGTGCTGCGTGTGTGTTGTCTGCTGTGTGTGTGCTGTGGATTGTGTGTTTGTGTGCTTGAATGTTTGCGTGTTTGTGTGGTGTGTTTGTGTGATTGTGTGATTGTGTGTTGTGTGTGTTTGCGCATGTGTGCGTTTGTGTTGTTGTGTGCTTATGTGTTTGTGTTTGTGTGTCTGTGTGCTTGTGTGTTTGTGTAGTTGTGTGTGTGTGTTTGAGTAGTTGTGTGCTTGTCTGTTTGTGTGTTTGTGTGTTTGTGTGTCTGTGTGTTTGCGTTTGTGCGTGTGCGTGTGGGTGTGTGCGTGCGGGTGTGTGCGCGTGGGTGATTGCGTGTGCGTTTGTGAGTGCATGTATGTGTGAGTGTTCTCTGAGTGCTCGGCCAGGCGTAGACGCGCGCGCCATACTGTGTTCCGACCTTCTACGCCCTGCGTAGGGCCGAGACACCAAAAAGTGTGTGCGTGCTCATTGAACAACCTGGAGTGCTCATTTCGATCGTACCAGACTCCTTGAGCAACTCCAGGAAGAGGAGCATGGGCTCCTCGGGGACGCACTGACGGGGGTCCATCCAAGCCCGGGTCCGTCGGGCTCTGCGGGATCCTGCGGGACCCTGCGCGCAAGCCCGGGTCAATACCACCCTGGCTCCGCAGGATCCTGCAAGATCCAGCGCTCTGGCCGACCCCCGTTTGCACTGACCCTCGCCGCTTGATGCGAGGCGGGGAGTCGTCCACATCCCCAGCACGGGCACCGACGCCCTGGGGCCCTCGACGGACGGTGGCCCCTGGGGGCCAGAAAAGATCCATGCCCGCCGCCTGTGGAGGTTCGCGAACATCGATCCCCCGGGCGCTGGTTGTGCCTACAGGGACCTCCTGGATGGTGTCGGAGTAGATGGGGTCGGAGGATCGCGCCGCATTGCCGATGCTTCGCCGATGCATCGGCGACGCATCAGTGATGCACCAGCGATGCTTCGTCGACGCCGGCGATGCATCGGCAACGTCGGCATGAAGCAAATCGGGCTCCACATCGAGCCGCATCGCCGATGCATCGGCGATGCGGCGCGATCCTCCCACCCCATCTGCTCCGACCCCATCTGAGCGAAGATCAAACACGGGCCTTACGCGAGGTGGCATCGCGACCTTACGCGGTGACCTACGCGGGCCGCCAGCGCGGCACGTCACATTGGGAACGAGGGCCCTTGCGCGCGAGCTCGCGAAGGCAGCTTACGCGCCAATGTCGGCGCAGACGACCCCGTTTTTCACGTCGCCCATCTGGGAGGCCTAGGAGTATGAGCCTCCGCCTCGATTTGGAGTCCCGAAACGGTGCGGTGACGGACCGTGCGGTGGCCTCGACATCCCCCAAGACCTCACCGCACGGTCCGTCACCGCACGGCCTTGGGACCTCGGAGGCCCCAGTCGTCCGAGACCTCCTCGGAGCTTAGCTGCCCCGATACGCAACATGCGACACGTAGCGTATTGATACGGAGCTCAACACGTGGACTGAAAACGTAGGTCCGACGCGATACGTTCGCCAAGACGTGGGCCAATACGTGGAGCCAACACGCAACGTACTGACACGGACGTCTTGAACAAGGCACGTGTTGCGTATCAAAACGGGCGTATCGAGGCAGCTAAGCCTCGGAGAGGGACCCGAGTCCCCAAACCGTGCGGTGACCCCGGATCCCGACCGACTCACCGCACACGGCGTGGCCACCACCCCGTTCAAGGGAGCCCCCGCCTCGCGCAAATTTGAGCCCCGGGGCTCCCGGAAGAGGACGTCCTCGGGGAACGGCGTCGGCTCCTCGGCGGCGGGCGGCGCCTGGGCCTCCGCCACGGCGGCGCGCCGCGCGGCCGAGGGGCCTGCGCCCGCGCCTCCGCGCGGGGAGGGGCGCGGCACGGTGTGTGTTTGTGCTGCTGGCCGGCCGCCCTGCGGTTGCTCGGCAGCTTCTGCACAGATCGGGGGTGGACAAACCTCCCTTCAGTAAACCACCCTTTTAGTGCCAACGGCCTAGGACCGAAACCGACGGGAGTGGACCCGCAAAAAGAATGGCCGTGACGCCCTCTCGCGAATCGAAGACGGCCAATTCACTAATCGACGTGTCAGGGTAGGAGGTCGATCAAACTCCGAACAAAGAAGAGAGGGGCGTGCACTCGTGCTGGCGGCGCGCAGGAGGGGAAGGGCTTCTTAGAGGGAGACCGCTCCTCAGGATGCGCGGGCCTCACATCTACAGACAAGGCCCGCGCCCTCCAAGAAGCAAGGGTGCTTCTGAGAAGCCTCCCCACTCCCCCATACCCTCCTCCGAGCGTGCGCTTGCGAGGGATGAGTGGGCGGGAAGCGGTGGTGCGGCGGGTGAGGATAAGGGTGAGAATCAGGAGGACGAGGCTCGAGATGGGGGAGGATCATGATAATGATTGTCACGCGGGTGAAGATCATGCGAGCCGTGGGAATACAAGTACAGTCAAGGTGCGCACTAAGAGTGCAAGGTAAGAATGCGAGACCCTGGAAGTCCCATTTCCATTGACAGCAACTTGGACGTCAACATTGGCTCAGGATGGGCCGAAGGAGCAGTGATGCAAGGGTAGCCTTGATGAAACAGCGCACCCTCATAGTGGATCTTGACTGTAGTCGTAGACAGACTCGCACGAGCAGCAGCAAGCATGAACAACACTAGTGATCAGTCGTAGTCGCACGCGCACGCGCACACGTTGCCACCATCGCAATTGGGGTAATAAAGTTCTTAGCCGTGTAGCACACGGCGGAACGCAAAGCTTACATAAAGCAAGTCTAGCTTTGGTCTGGTTGGTCTGGTTATTCTGGTTTGAGCTTCGTCTTGCAGCCTTAGCTTAGGATCTGGACGAAAGTAGTTTAGGGGAGGTCCGGCGAGGCAGCGCCAACCACCACGACGACCGAAATGCAGTGTTTGTTGCATTGCATGTTTTTTCGCTTTGCAATTCTTGTGCATTGCAGTTTTTGTTGCATCTGATCTGGTTGGTCTGGTTGGTCTGGTTTGAGCTTCGCCTTGCAGCCTTAGCTTAGAATCTGGGCGAAAGTAGTTAGAGGAGATCCAGCGAGGCAGCGCCAACCACCATCACGACCGAAATGCAATGTTTCTTTGCATTGCAGTTTTTGTTTTGCCATGTTCGTTGCAGTGCAGTTTTTTCATCTGGTCTGGTTGGTCTGGTTGATCTGATTTGAGCTTCGTCTTGCAGCCTTACCTTAGGATCCGGGCGACAATGGTTTAGGGGAGGTCCGGGGAGGCAGCGCCAACCACCACCACGACCGAAATGCAGTTTTCTGCATCTGCATATTTTTTGGCTCTGCAGTTTTTTGCATTGCAATTTTGTTTTGCATCTGGTCTGGTTAGTCTGGTTCGAGCTTCGTCTTGCAGCCTTACCTCAAGATCCAGCGAGAGTGGTCTAGGGGGGATCCGGCAAGGCAGCTCCAACCACCAGCAGAACCGAAATGCACTTTGTTGTGCATTGCATGTTTTTTCTGGCTTCGCATTTTTTTGCATTGCAATTTGTTTTTGCATCTGGTCTGGCTGGTCTGATAGGCTGGTTTGAGCTTCGTCTTGCAGCCTTACCTCAGGATCCAGCGAAAGTGGTCTAGGGGGGATCCGGCGAGGCAGCCCCAATCGCAACGACGACGACCGAAATGCGGTTTGATTTGCACTGCAGTTTTTGTTGTTTCTCTGTTTTTTTTTCTGCATTGCAAGTTTTGTTGCATCTGGTCTGGCTGGTCTGGTTGGTCTGGTTTGAGCTTCGTCTTGCAGCCTTAGCTTAGGATCGGGGCGGCAATGGTTTAGGGGAGGTCCGGCGAGGCAGCCCCAATCGCAACGACGACGACCGAAATGCAGTTTTTGTTGCATTGCCGTTTTGGGGGCTTAGCAGTGTTTGTTTGCATTGCAATTTGTTTTTTGCATCTGGTCTGGCTGGTCTGGTTGGTCTGGTTTGAGCTTAGTCTTGAAGCCTTAGCTCAGGATCCGGGCGACAATGGTTTAGGGGAGATCTGGCGAGGCAGCGCCGACCACCACGACGACGACCGAAATGCAGTGTGTTTTGCACTGCAGTTTTTGTTGTTACGCTGCAGTTTGTTTTGCATTGCAGTTGTTGTTTTTCACCTGGTCTGGCTGGTCTGGTTAGTTTGGTTTGAGCTTCGTCATGCAGCCTTAGAGCTTTGGATCCGAACGAGAGTGGTTTAGGGGAGGTTCGGCGAGGCAGCGCCAACCACGACCGAAATGTTGGTATTGTTTGCTTTGCTGATATTTTTGCATTGCAACTTTTGTTGTTCGTCTTGCAACTTTAGCTCAGGTCCGTGCGAGAGTGGTTTAGGGGAGGTCCGGCGAAGCAGCGCTAACCACCACGACGATCGGCATGAAGTTTGTTTGTATTGAAATTTGTTGTTGCATTGCAGTTGTATTTGCATTGCAGCTTTGCAAATCTAGCTTCAGCTTTGGATTCCGCGTGCGAGGCGAGAGCGGTTTGGGGAGCTCCAGGGAGGGTCTGAAGCCCACGGCGCCAACGATTATGATCAGAACTGCAGTCTTCTCTGCATTGAAGTTTTGTTTTCATTGCTGTGTGTTTTGGATTGCAGCTTTGCCGTTCTAACTTCAGCTTTGGATTCCGCGTGCGAGGCGAGAGCGGTTTGGGGAGCCCCAGGGAGGGTCTGAAGCCCACGGCACCAACCACCATGATCAGAATCACAATGTATGTTGCATTTCAGTTTTTCGTTGGATTGCAGCTGTGCCGTTCTAGCTTCAGCTTTGGATTCCGCGTGCAAGGCGAGACCGGGTTGGGGAGATCCAAGGAGGATCTGAAGCCCACGGCACCAATCACCATGATCATAATTAAAGTTATTTTTGCATTTCAGCTGTTTGTTGCACTGCAATTGTTGTTTGCATTGCAGCTTTGCCCCTCTAGCTTCAGCTTTGGATTTCACGTGCGATGCGGGAGCGGTATGGGGAGCTCCAGGGAGGGTCTGAAGCCGACGGCGCCAACGACCATGATCAGAATTGCAGTCTTTTCTGCATTGCAGTTTTGTTTGTATTGCAGTTTTCTTGCATTGCAGCTTTGCCGTTCTAGCTTCAGCTGTGGATTCCGCGTGCGAGGCGAGAGCGATCTGGGGAGGTCCAGGGAGGATCTGAAGCCCACGGCGCCCAAGGCGTGAGGCTATCTTGGGCATCTTGGACCGATCGGTCGGCCATCTTAGGGGGTGAGGCCGTCTTGGAGCGCCCTGGGGTTCTGAAAAACCGCCCCGGGGAGCGGATTCTGCTGGGACTTTGCCGGGGCACTTCTCGTCCGGGGACTTCCAGGGGCTGGCCCGCGCGCGCGATCAAGAAACATCGTTTACCAGTCGCCGGAGATTCTAGCACGCCTCTGGCCCGTTGGGCCGGCGAATGAAAGTTTGAGAAGGGTGTCGGCGGCCTCTTGGAGGCCTCTCGGGGCGCTCTCAAAGCCATCTTGGAGCCATCCGAGGCCCCTCTTGGGCCTCCCTTGGGCCATCTTGGAGGCCATCGACCAATCAAGAAGGCGGCGTGAATTTGGGTCCCCCTGGCGGAGACCTCAACATCGCCTCTTAGAGCTCTCTAAGACGCGCTTGGGGCAGTCTTGGGCGCTCTTGGGGCCGTCTTGGGCCTCTCTGGGACCCCTCTTGGACCCCTCTTGGGGATCTCTGGGTCCATCCCGGAGCCATCTCGAAGCTTCAGAAGCCCATCCGAAGCGAAAAGGCGAGAGGGCAAACAAAAACATTGATTTCTCTTAGGTTTTAGACCGTTGTTGGCCTCTCCAGGGCGTCCTTGGGAGGCCCTTTGGCCACTTAGAGCCGTCTTGGAGGGATCTTGAAGCATCTTGGAAGTCTGTTGCAAACTATATTTGGCCATGTTGGGCTATCTTCAGCGATCTTGGAGGCCATGTTTAGCTCTTTAAGGCCTTCTTGAAGCCATCTTGGGCCATCTTGGACGCCCTGACCGCTCGCGAACGGCCCCGTCCAGGTCCAGGGGGAGAGGGTACCGAAGAGGAAGAAGGAGGTTGGAAGAGGGGGATATCAAACCCACTCACGCCCGAAAGGGCTGGTGGGATTTTAGCCCCCTCCTCTGGGACCGTCACAATCGCCTCTTGGGGCCCTCTGGGGCCCCTCTTGGTCGCTTCTTGGAGGCCTCTTGGGGCGTCTTGGGCGTATCTTGGCAGTCCCGGGAGCCTCTTGACGCGTCTTGGCTGCCTCTGGGGAGAGAGAGGCTCGTGAGACCACTTGAGGGCCTCTTTGAGACCGCTTGGGAGTGTTTGGAAGCCTTTGGGGGGTTTTCTTGGAGCCCCTTGGTCGCCTCTTGGTACCCTCTTGGAAACATAAGGTGCCCTCTTGGGACCAAGAAAGTACAGAGCCGCGTCAGCTGCCATATCAGTTCTTCTGTCTCAAAGCAAAACAAGGCGTTGGGGCATAAGAACTTTTCGCTTCAAGCGGCTTAGAACAGTGGGAGGGGTGGTGTCAGCATCACAGGGAACACATTCCCAAAACAGGGAACACATTCCCCAAATCAGGTTGCCACCCTGATGCTCTATTCGGCGGCGAGCGAGGGGGGGAAGTGAGAAGGAGAAGACCTTCTCAGAAGACGGCGGGAAGTCTCAGAAACCTTCGCGCCTTCTGAGATTCAGTCTTCCGTGTCTCCGGGGAAGGCGTAGACAACTTCTGAGTAGGCCGGGGGAATTTCCGAGACTTGTGAGAAGGCCCGCCCCTTCTCACTTCCCCCCCCCGGGCTCGCCCACTATCCGATGGGTGGTGCCAGGTGCCCCATGCCCTACGGAGCACCTACGTGCTGCGACTTCTGGCTGCCGCCCTGGCACCCGCACAGTGGCGCCAGTCGGCGGGTGCCCTACGATGGCCACATTGGTGCTGCGATTTTGCTGGCTGCCGCCCTATGGAGGCCTGGTGCCCTGTGGGCGGTGCTCCACGACTGGTGCCACACAGTAACCCCATAGGTGGCAACTTCTCGCTACCGCCCTGGTGCAATATGTCGGCGGCGAGCCCGCGGGGGAAGGGAGAAGGGGCGGGCCTTCTCACAAGGCTCGGAAGTTCCCCGGCCTGCTGAGCAGATGCCGAAGCCTTCCCCGAAGACACTGACAACTTCTCAGAAGACCAGAGCGCTTTTGAGAAGCCCCGCCGCCTTCTGAGAAGGCCTTATCCTTCTCATGTCCCCCCCTCGCTCGCCGCCGCCGAATATGAGTCATGCCCTTTGAGCGGCACCCTTTCATTCCACAACGTGTTGCGATGTATGGTGGCCACCCCGGTGCTCTTTGATACGTTCTTAGATGCTCTATTCAGAGTGATTGGGACGAACGGTCATTCACTGTGCCTGGGTGCGTGGCTGGAGTGGGCATCCGCGGTGCGGATTGTTGTTGGTGTTCGTGGTATTGTTGCTTTTGCTGCTGCTGTTGTTGGTTTGTGGCGTTGTTGCTGGTGGTGGTAATACTGCTGTTATTGTGATCGAAGTAGTTGTACCACTAGTAGCTGTAGTAGTAGTAGTAGTAGTAGTAGTAGTAGTAGTAGTAGTAGTAGTAGTAGTAGTAGTAGTAGTAGTAGTAGTAATTACCCCAGTGCGACCCTACCTAGAAAATGAAGCCCCTAGGAAAGCAACATTAGTTGCTATGCTATGCTCTGCTCTGCTATGCTATGATATGCCATGCTATGCTGCGCTATGCTATGTTATGCTATGCTATGCTATGCTATGCTATGCTATGTTATGCTGCGCTATGCTATGCTCTGCTATGCTATGATATGCTGCGCTGTGCTATGCTGTGCTGTGCTGTGCTGCGCTATGCTATGCTATGATATGCTATGCTGCGCTATGCTATGCTATGCTATGCTATGATGTGCTGCGCTATGCTATGCTACGCTATGCTATGCTATGCTGTGCTCTGCTATGCTAAAGCTCAGCGAAGCTAAGATGAAGGTAAGCTAAGCTAAGGTAAACCTGAGCTAAGATGAAGCTAAGCTAAGCTAAGATGAAATAAGCTAAGCTAAGATGAGATAAGCAGCGCTAAGCTAAGGGGACGTAACTGGGCGAACCGCGGGGCGGATACTGGGGGAACCGCCCGGGGCGGTGTGCACTGCCCGGCCCCTTTAAGAAAAAGAGTACGAAACCTTTAGGCAGAGCCTAGGTAGGGAATAATAATAATAATAGAAAGTAGTAGTAGTAGTAGTAGTAGTAGTAGTAGTAGTAGTAGTAGTAGTAATACGAATACTAGTAGTAGCAGAAGTAAGCGTAGTAGTAGTAGTAGTCGTAGTAGTAGTAGTAGTAGTAGTAGTCGTAGTAGTAGTAGTAGTAGTAGTAGTAGTAGTAGTAGTAGTAGTAGTGGCAGTAGCAGTAGTAGTAGTAGTAGTAGTAGTAGTAGTAGTAGTAGTAGTAGTAGTAGTAGTAGTATAAGTCGAAGTGGTAGCAGAAGTAGTAGTAGTTAGAGTAAGGACAGTAGTCGTAGTAGTAGTAGTAGTAGTAGAAGTAGAAGTTGAAGTAGAAGTAGAAGTAGAAGTAGAAGTAGAAGTAGAAGTAGAAGTAGAAGTAGAAGTAGTAGTAGTAGTAGTAGTGGTAGTGGTAGTGGTAAGATCAAAAGTAATAATAACATAACAGGTCATTGTAGTAGTAGTAGTCGTAGTAGTAGGAGGAGTAGGAGTAGTAGTAGTAGTAGAAGTCGTAGTAGAAGTCGTAGTGGATGTTGTTGTTGTAATAGTAGAAGGCAGCCGTAGCAATAGTAATAGGTTTTGTGTTTTGGGCTGGTGGTGCCGCTGTTGTGGTTGTTGCTGTTGAATTCCCATTGCAAAAGAATTAATGTTGTTGCTCCCCCCGGAACACATTCTATGCGTTCAATTGAAATGTCCTCTCGGGGCCCTGAAGGGACAATGAAGAATCACCAAACTGTGCCCCTGGCCCCCGAGTTACAACAACAACGGCTCCCGCCTGATACTTGCTCACAATGTCTTCCAAAGTCGCGCTCTGGCGCGGGACTTTCTCACAAAGTATGCAGGAATCGCGCTCTTGCGTGGGACTTCCTCGCAATCTAGTCAGACGCCGCGCCCTCGACACTCAGGAGTCACGCTCTCGCGTTGGTCTTTCTCACGATTTACTTGGGAATCGCGCTATCGCTCGAGCTCTCCTCGCGATTCATGCAGTACTCACGCTTCTGCAACACGCCTTCTCGACCTCGCCACTTGGGCCCCCTTCCAAACCCGCTCGTTAGGGTCTACCCGCACGATGGCCCGTCTGGTTCTGCCACGCGTTTTCTGCTCCTACCCCCCCCTCCTGCTAATCCAAGGCTCCATCCTTCTCCCCCTTCCTTTCATCCGTCCTCTCTTCTCTCGTTTCAGGGGATGCACAAATTGCACGCCGCAGGAGATATACCCCGGGGGAGGTACGATCGAAGACGAAGAGGGCGGGTACCGAGGGCTTTAGATATCTATCTATCTATCTATATATATACATGTGTGTGTGTTGAAAGGCACGCGAGCAGTCAAGAGCGAGAAGTCTAAATGATTGTTGGTGTTGTTGTCATTACTGTGAAAGGTTGATTGTTCGTTGTTCTCGTCGTCCCGCCCGCGACCCGGCCCGCGACCCACCCGCGACTCACCCCGCGCCCGCCCCCTCACTCTCATCCGCAGCTGCAGGGTGCTACATATGGTTCGATGTCTGTTTGCCGTTCTGATGGCGTGTGCGTGGTACCCTATGGCTGCGGGCTGAAGATGCCCCACTGTATGACGATGTCCGGCTGACGCTCTGATACCAAATGGGTGGTGCTCTACGACGTGTGCCCCACAGTGCCCCGATGTGTTGTGATTTCTGATTGCCGAACTGGTGCCCTACGTGTGGTGCTCGTTGAAGGGTCCCCTACGTTCCCACGTCCCTGGACCTCCCCCGTCACCACGCGCACGACCGCCCGAAGTGCACAAAGCCCGCGTCCAAGAAGTCCAAAAAAGCCCCAGATGGCCCAAGACGTTCAACGTGGCTCCAAAACGACTCCTGGACGGCCAAGAAGACCCAAGGCAGCCCCAAGAGAATCCAAGAGGCTCGTGGCCCGAGAGGCGAAACAATATTGACTTAAAAACAATAGGTGGTTCAAGTACGGCTGGTCTCCCGCATGCTCTGTCCCAGGAGAGCCCAAGATAGTCCAAGTGGGCCCCGAGACCCGCCCAAGGCGGCCCAACAAGGGCCCCGAGATGGTCTCAAGACAACGGGGGATCCAATGTGGATCAAGAAAGCCTCAAAACGGCCTCCCAACACGAGCACCTGGAAGGCCCGAAGGACCACGGAGGAACCCCAAGGAAGCTCCAGGACGGCCCCCTGGGGGCCCCATCCCCAGCGGTCCCCCGGTGGCTTCCCTGCCGGCTGGGGAGAATGCACGGCCCACCGGCGTGGCGCCGCACTGTCGCCCGCCATGCCTCGGCACGGGTGCTTCCAAAACGCCGGGGGTGTTGGCGGTGCTTCGCCGCAGGCGTCGTCGGTACTGCGACACTGCCTCTCCGACTACGGCTGGCACGAGAAGCCAAGGGATAGAGAGAGCAGCCGTGGCGGCGGCAAGACTCGAGGCGGCTGCAGCAGCAAGGCGCCAGAAGCAGAAGTGAGAGAGGGGAGTCTAGCTGGCCGGCCCGAAGGAGTCAACAGCCTCCGCCCACTTGCACCCTCCTTCAGGAGCACGAGCACGAGCACGTCCACGACCAGCAAGAGCACCGACCTCGACAGATGCGCTGCTCCGCAGCTGCCCCCTCGGCGGAAGCGCGCCGGCCCGGAAGACGCCAGAGCCCGGCCTGCCAACGGCATGATCGGCCATCCGTGGGCGGAAGCTGTTTGCGAGGCGACTGACGGGCAACGCCCTGATTCTGAAGCATCTCGCAGCGTCGGAAGTCGCGGAGCGCACCAACCGTCCGATGGCGCCTGCAGGACAATCACCGGCAGCAGATGCACGGTGTGCAGGCGGGGCCTGCGACCAGCGTCGGGGGAGGGAGCTCTGACATCCATGGCTCATTCCGCAGGCCACGGCCGTGCCGTCGGATCCGAGCAGGACTGCGCGGCTACCTCCAGCAGCAGCTTGCAGCTTGCGCCTTGCTGGGGACCAGCGCCGGCAGATCGCACCGACTGCGACCGCTTCACCCGCAGGCCACGGCCGCGCCCTCGCTCCCGAGCCGACCAGTGCGGCACTCTTCGGCAGCGACCTCCGTATTGGTGAGGTCCGCCACAGGCGGCAAGAGGTCACACCGAGCATCGGCACGGTTGCCGCACGCCTCGGCCCTGGAGTCGCTGCAGAAGGAGACGTCGTGGAGCACACCAGGCGGCGACTTCCATGTAGACCCGGTCCGCGGGCAGACCCCGGAGCACGCACTCACCATCGTCGCTGTGGCCGCAGGCCACGGCCATGCCTCTGACACCTGGCGAAACGTCGGATCTCACACCTCATTCATCAACCACAGAGCCTGCTGCCACTGCCCGCATTTCTCGCACGCGCTGATTGCAACGTTCAAGCTGGGAGCGTCGGGCGCCGAATTCGCAGCGCGCAGCTCTCTAATCAACGAGAGAGCCTGTTGCCACTGTCCGCACTTCTCGCATGCCTTGATCCCAGAGCTGCAGGTGATGACATCAGGCTGCAGCTTTGCACGCCACATCTCGCTGAGCGCGGAGAGAGCCTGCTGCCACTCCCCGCTTTTCCCGCACGCGCTAATCGCAGAATTGAAGCTGATAACGTCGGGCTCCAAACTCGCTGCACAAATCTTGCTGATCAACCACAGAGCCTGTTGCCACTGCAAGCCTTTATCGCAAGCATCGATCCCAGTACTGTAGCTGATCAAGTCAGGCTGCAGCTTCAGACGCAACATCTCGCTGAGCGCCGAGAGAGCCTGTTGCCACTGCCCGCCTGTCTCGCAGGCGCTGATCGCAGAATTGAAACTGACAATGTCGGGATCCATAGCTACGTCCCGCATCTCACCGAACACTGATAGAGCCTGTTTCCACTGCCCGGCTTTCTCGCACGCGCTGATCGCAGCATTGAAGCTGATCGCAGAGGGCTCCAACGCTGATCCCCGCATCTCGCTGAGCTTCGAGAGAGCAAGCTGCCACTGCCCTCCTTTCTCGCATGAGCTGATACCAGCGTTGAAGCTTATGACATTGGGTTCAATCCTCAACTCCCACATCTCCCCGAGCAACGACAATGCCTGCTGCCACTGCTCGCCCCTCCCACACGCACTGATACAAGCGCTGTAGCTGACTAGGGCTAGACCGTGGACTACAGTCCACGAAATCTGTTCGAAGTGGCACGTTGTGCGATGGCCGAAGCGCTGCCGAAACTCGCTCATGTTGACGTCGGCCCCGAGGCCCAGGCCGCGAGACGTGGGAAGCGAGCAAAGAATGAGCAGGGAGGGGCGAGGAGGAGCGAGGAGTGAGGAGTGGGTAGTAGCCGTCGCGGGGCTCTTTGGGGCGCTCTTGAGGCCTGCATGAGGCCGTGCGTGACTTGCAGGAGTGAGGTGCGAAAAGGGAGGAGGAATTAGCGAGCAGCCAGGAGCAATGAGCGAGGGACCAGGAGAGGTGGACGAACAGCGAGAGGAGCAAGGAGCGATGAGAGGGGGGGGCAAGGAGTGACGGGATTGGTGGAGCGCCAGGAAGCCCTGGGGAGCCGCGGGGGGCTCCGTGGACCGGCGTTGATCGCTGGCCTCCTGGTCTGCCTGCCTGCTGTCATGCTGGCATGTTGCTTAGACTTGTGAGCTGATAGCGTTTGGCCGAATCATCTGTTTTCTATGTGTTTGAGCTATTGTTCGTCCGTCCGCGCCCTGCTGATTCCTACCGCTTGCTGATGCTTGGCGCCGCGTCCCGCAACTCCCCGTATGCATGGTGTTGTGGATCGTCACCACGGTCTAATGTCTTGGCCCGGGGCGAGTTGCTGCTCGATGCGGTTCGACGGTGCTGCGTGCTGCTGACGTGTCACCGATTGATGCTGCGTGCCTGGGGGACCTCTGGGGCATGTTGGAAACATGGTGGGCACAGCGCGAGACAGAGGATAGCAGAGGAGGGGGAGGAAGAGGAGGAGGAGGACGGGGAAGGGGGAGAGGGTAGGGGGATGATGATACCAGCGTTGAAGCTGATGACATTGGGTTCAATCCTCAACTCCCACATCTCCCCGAGCAACGACAATGCCTGCTGCCACTGCTCGCCCCTCCCACACGCACTGATACAAGCGCTGTAGCTGACTAGGGCTAGACCGTGGACTACAGTCCACGAAATCTGTTCGAAGTGGCACGTTGTGCGATGGCCGAAGCGCTGCCGAAACTCGCTCATGTTGACGTCGGCCCCGAGGCCCAGGCCGCGAGACGTGGGAAGCGAGCAAAGAATGAGCAGGGAGGGGCGAGGAGGAGCGAGGAGTGAGGAGTGGGTAGTAGCCGTCGCGGGGCTCTTTGGGGCGCTCTTGAGGCCTGCATGAGGCCGTGCGTGACTTGCAGGAGTGAGGTGCGAAAAGGGAGGAGGAATTAGCGAGCAGCCAGGAGCAATGAGCGAGGGACCAGGAGAGGTGGACGAACAGCGAGAGGAGCAAGGAGCGATGAGAGGGGGGGGCAAGGAGTGACGGGATTGGTGGAGCGCCAGGAAGCCCTGGGGAGCCGCGGGGGGCTCCGTGGACCGGCGTTGATCGCTGGCCTCCTGGTCTGCCTGCCTGCTGTCATGCTGGCATGTTGCTTAGACTTGTGAGCTGATAGCGTTTGGCCGAATCGTCTGTTTTCTATGTGTTTGAGCTATTGTTCGTCCGTCCGCGCCCTGCTGATTCCTACCGCTTGCTGATGCTTGGCGCCGCGTCCCGCAACTCCCCGTATGCATGGTGTTGTGGATCGTCACCACGGTCTAATGTCTTGGCCCGGGGCGAGTTGCTGCTCGATGCGGTTCGACGGTGCTGCGTGCTGCTGACGTGTCACCGATTGATGCTGCGTGCCTGGGGGACCTCTGGGGCATGTTGGAAACATGGTGGGCACAGCGCGAGACAGAGGCTAGCAGAGGAGGGGGAGGAAGAGGAGGAAGAGGACGGGGAAGGGGGAGAGGGTAGGGGGATGATGATGGTGATGATGATGCTGCTGATGATGATGGTGGTGATGATGACGATGATGACAATGATGATGCGGATGATGATGATGATGATGATGATGATGATGATGATGATAATGATGATGATGCTGATGATGATGATGATGATCCCCGCGTTTGAAAGGGTCAGGAGCTCCTAGCTCGTACTGCCCCTCGGACCGAAGCGTTTTCCTGTGGCCTGCGGTGGCAACGCTCGGTCTCGTGCGCCACGGCGCACACACGCAGATCGCCCGAGTGTCGAGAGCCATCCACCGCCTCAGCCGAGGCAAGCGGGTGACCGCACCAAGCAGCCGAAGCGACTCAGCACGCACGGCTGCTGGTATGGACACGCTGCGCAGTCAGGCATGCTGGGACACAGCTGAGCTGCACGCCGCGCCCGAGAAGCAACTAGGTCCTTAGGCAAAGAAAGGCCACGGCTGACTGACAATGCTCCTCAGGCCTGCGGAGATCGAACCAGAGCGTGGGCGGACCTACGCTCTCGGGTCGCCCTCCACGTCGAGGGACGGACGGGCACTGACGCGAAACGCGCCAGAAGCTACATTGAGCAGAAGCGTGCATCATGCCGAGACGGAGGCAAACACGACTGCCCCTCCCCTCAGCAGAACAGACCGTCGACTGGCACCAGGCCCCACAGACTGACCGGTTGCATTGCTGAGGGCAAGGAGCACGTTCCCGAGAGAGGGCTGACCTTCACTCCTGGGTCACCCTCCAGGAGACCCCTGATGAGGGCCTGCACGGTCACTGAGCCTGCGCCCTTGGCCAGGGCAGGCGACATCGCCAAACAAAGACAATAAGGCGGGGGGGGGGGCATGGCAACGGTCGAAGCGGCCTGGCAAACCCAGGCCGCCTCCGCGCCGAGCCCCCCCCCTCCCCAGAAGAAGAAATTCACGCCGCCTCCCGGCTGGCGGAATCCCAAGGCGCGTGTTCCAGGGCTGGCTGCGAGACACCAGCACCGCCAAGCGGTCGGCCAAGGGCAGACCAAACTATCGCCCGTCTGGCGGAACCCCACGGCCCGAATTCCAGGGCTGGCTGCGCAGCACCAGCACCGCCAAACAAGACGACCGAAAGGGAGGGGAGGGCAAAGGACAGAGCTAGGGCACGGAGCGTGCCGCTAAAAAGAAGGCGAGAGCAGCACAGACGAGACCCATCAGCAGAGCAACGTGTCCATCGGCACAAGGCCCCACACAGGACCGGTTACATTGCCAATGGGCGGAGCAGATCCCGTGCGCGGGCGAACCTACGCACCTGGGTCCGCCTCCGCTGAAGCTTGCTGCAAAGGCAGCCGAAGCTACTGAAAGGCAGCGCCGAGCACAAGCCATGCTGCGAAGTATCGGAGCCCGATCCCGTGTGTGGGCGGACCTACACACCCGGTTCAACTCCCACTGCAAACAGCGCGCCACTGCGCGCGCACCGAGCAGAGGCCATGCACGCGGCGGGGGGCCCGCTTAGGGCAGCGGCAAGCGACCTGCCCGACAGCAGCGCAACTGTCCACCTGGCACCTGGCCACGCAGGGACTTGTTGCATTGCCGACGGCATGGGGCCCGACCCCGTGCGCGCGCGAACCTACGCACATGGTTCAGGCCCGAACTGGCGCGGGAGGCAAGCCTTCCACACGCCTGCGCAGGCGGCGCAGGGGCTCAGGGTCACCGATGCTGTCCTGCGCTGCTGGCTGCAGCCCACGCTTGAGGCGGCCGAGCACCGCCTTCTGCCTGTCGCTTTCGGGCGCCCTCGGGCGCACCTTCGCCTTGCCCGACATCCTGACACTATGCGCCCAGTAGCCGCACTTGACTGTCTGCTCGCCACAACTCGTTGGAGTCGTGCGGATCGGGCCCCCGCCACGGTGGAAGCGCGGGTGGGGGCATGGGCAGAGGCTGCGCAGCAGGTGCCGCCACCCGCTCCTCGCAAGCTGCCGCGGCCGCGCTGCCGCTGCCAGACGAGGCCCCACCACCTCCACCGTCACGCTGAACACCGTCATCTGCTGCTGCTGCGCTCTGCGAGCCGCTGGCCTGGCTGGAGATCAGGGCCGCGCTCGCTGAGAGGAGGGCCGCGCCCGCGGCGACCGAGCCCGAGGGCCTCTCCGAACCCGAAATCCACGAGCCCGGAATCGCCTCGCCCCGACCCGCGCATTCCTGGCAGGCCCAGAGCACGTCGCTGCCGACCTCTCAGCCATGCACCATGTCTGCCGCACGTCCTTCGCGAGCAGTGGCTCCCCCAGCGCAGCTTGCATCCCTGCCAGTCGCACCGCGCCGCCGCCATGCCTGGCCCATCGTGGCCGCCCGCGGCGGTCAGCTCCGCGTCGCCTTCCTGCATGGCGGCGCCCAGCCAGCGGAAGATCTTCCTGACTAGGCGGCCCTGTCGCAGGCTGCGCGCGCGAACCACCTCGTCCGTGGGATGCATCTCCGCGCCCTGGATGGCGCGAGCGTCCGTACGGTGGTTGCCCCTGCGCTGCCAGTCGGTGATGCGCTCAGCCTGTGCGTCCGCCAACGTCGCGTGGGTCTTCCCCTCGTGGACCGTGACGTTGTCGATGCCGATGTCCTCGAGCGCTCGCCACAAGCGGACCCACAACTCACGGCAGGGTCTCTGCCACTGGAGGCACCACGCCTTGCCCGCTGCGAAGCCGTCCACGAGCAGCTGGCAGTCGGTGTAGATCCTGACTTGCGGAAGGCAGTCCTGCAACCCTTCGGTGGCCGCAGCAAGCTCCGCGGCCCCCGACTCCTGCGGGCGTGGCCAAGGTAGCGGGCCGAAGATGCTGAGGGCCTCCTCGTCGCGACTCATGACAACGGCAGCCCATCCACCCCTCGCGGAGACCAGGCTGGGGTCCAGGACGCTGCCGTCGGTGAAGAGGTGGCCAGCAAGTGGTTGGCCCACAAGGTCGGCGCGCCCTTCCTTGCGCGGCAGGCGCTCCTCCGGGGGCAGAGGGAGTGCGAGCCCCTACGCCCTGGTGCTAGGGCCCTCGAGCTGGCCATGTTGACGAGGGTCCCGAAGTGGATGTCGTCGAGCGGCCTCCTCTCGTCTGCGTCGTCATTGGCACTCACTCTGCACGGCCGAGCGCGGTGGCGGGGCACTGCCACGCCAGGTGACGCACCGCGCCGCGCGCATTGCACCCGCGCGGGCACCAAGGAGACGACGCCAACGGCCGC